AGTAGGCTATAATTGCAGTTATATGCAATTTAGTCTTTTAAATACCAAATAAATTTGTAAAAATATGCAAAAATCACCTTAATTATATTTTGGTACAAATATAAGAATAAAAAATAAATTATTCACTAAAATGATAATCTTGGAAATAATTATTGGATTTTGTACTGATAAAATAGACAATAAATTGGTTTTAAAATTTTAAAAATTAGGAAAAAATACCAAAACTCTTGGGCATGCTTATATATGCATGTACATGCTATTTTGAAAGTATTTTGTATATAAAATACATAGGAAAAAATTGGGTATCAACAGATATAACTCAGGTACCTAACAATTTGTTTCTAAGAAAGTTGAAAGATACAATTCAAATCGCTTACTACACTTTGAACTAGAAATAAAGACATACACATAAAACTCATTGCGGAATTGGTTCTTCAATCTGGTTCGTGTAGCTTCAGGATCACACTCTTGAATCTCACAAGAATTGCTCACAAATTGCCTTGCTACTTTGCTCTCAATTTTGCTTTTACTTCAGTACATGTGCGTCACCTGTAAAAGATCACAAAACAAATATTTATAGAGTTAATAGAATAGCGATTAATTAGAGTTCTAATGTTTTACTTCTCGTTGGTGGAAGAGTTATAGTCAACTTCAATTTCTAACTCTTCCCTTATCTTGGATAGAGTTCTCTTCAAGTAAGGAGTCCTGCTCCTTATCAAATATGCAACCTTTTCGTTCAAGGAATATCAGAAATAACTACTTATTCATATTCCTTGCACGTGCATGCCTTTTGCTTGAATCTGACCGTGACTTGTGTACAATGTCCATGGACCTGGTTCATGCATGTGTTTCTTTGTCAATTATCAAAACCAAAACCGCTCAGGTAAACAGTCTTGAACTTCTAAAATAACAAATAATTTGAGACAACTAATTTTAAAAATCAAGACAAATAATTCACGATCGAGGGAGTAAAACATATATTAATTTGAAATAAATCAAACCTAACATCCAAAAATAGTTCCTATACAACTAATTTTTACTGTTATGTTATGAAATAATAAAAGAAGAAGAAGAGTATTGCAGAGAAAAGTAGGGAGAGAGAATTCTTATTGATTTGGAGTCAATTACAATGGAATAGGACCCCTCTATTTATAGGGAAAGAGTGACTTAGCCACTAAGTAAAATCCCAAAAATCTCTCTTAAATATAGACATTCACCTTAAATAGAATTCTATTTATAACACTCCCTCTTGAATGTCTATTCAACAGATAATGTGCCTCATTAAAACCTTAACTAAAATAAAACCCAGTGAAAAAAAAATTCTAGAGAAGGAAAAAGAGTACACATATCTAACAATACGCCTTTTGGTTGCCTCGTTAAAAACCTTGCAAGGAAAACCCAGTGGGACAAAACCTTGTAAGGGAAAAAGAGTACAACACGTATTGACTCCCCCTGATGAGAGCATCAATTCACATCCTTGAGCCTTCGCATTCTAATCTTGTGCACCGGTTTCTTGAAGGTGATGTAGGTAGAGATTTCGTGAACAAATCAGCCATATTAACTTGAATGAATATGTTGCACCTTGAAATCATTCCCGATAGAGATGAATTATCTTCATATGATCTTGTTGGAATCGTCATTTTCAATATCATCACATAAGGGTAAAAACTCTTGCTATCATGTGTATAATTATAGCACGATACATTTGTGCACAAATTGCACTGAGGATGTGGTACTTCAAGATCAAGAATTGTATATGCTTTAAGCTATTTAAATTCTTCGGGGATTGTCATATAAGTATAGTCAAATAAGCCATTTAAATAGACTTTAGATGCATATAAACTTTTCATGTCATGCTAGACATATAAGATAACGAAAACTGATTGCACATATCATTGACTTTAGACTTTCAAGTGTTTGAGTTGCAGGTCCAAAACTACATGTCTTTCATATGAAACCAATTCTATTTGAATTGTGTCTCTTCTATTTGGCAAATATTTTTGTGTCTGTATTCGACAGGCTTGAGGTCCTTATCTATACCTAGCGCTATGATAGATGTCGTCGACGAATATTTTATATCAGTTCCAACTCCTTATTTTTCATAAAGACATAACATAGAGATCTCTTCATTCATATATTCAGGTACCTGAACCTCTCTTGAGATGTTATGAATGATTGTGTTATGTGATCTTCTAGATCAGTTGCCTCCTTTATTATGAACATTTTGATCATTTGCTCCTCTTCTTTATTAAGAAGTTTATTTGAAACCGATTTGTCTATATGCTTTAAGCGTACCATAGATTTTATCCTTCTAGGACTTAATATGAGCATTTACAATGCGAATATAGTTACTTACTTTGAGTCAGCAAATGCGTCTGGCATGCTTTGCAATATATTGCAAATGAATTATCTTTTTATGAACTTCAAGTTCATATTATCTTATTCGAGGATCTGCATGTACAAATGATAATTCTTTCCAGTAACTTTTTCTCTACTGTTTATCATGTCTCCCCCTTATGTTAGAAAACTAACTTTCTTCCTCAATTTTGGGAACTCATCTTTGTGCATTATAGTGTTAATCAAAATATACACCGCACATCAATAATAATAATAAGATAGAATTATTTGGTTCCTGACCTTGAACCACTTGTGAGGGGAGAATGTAATATACTTTCGTATATAATGTATATCAAACTAATATAGATAACTTTGTTCTTATAAGCAATAGTTTAGCTATTAAGTGTAGGCACTTAATAATTATTTTGCTAAACTAACTGTGATGTAAACCAACTTATCAAGATAAACTTTCTTGAGTAGAAAATCTGAAAATTGTGCTCTAAATTAGATTATTGAGCAATTACCTCGCAAACACCAAGTTGCAGGTTAATAATAATCGCACATGTAACCATATCATAGATGCATCTTATGTGGTATGCATGGCAGGTGAATGAGTCCATATTCACCTTTGATATTTCCAGCATTCATGGGATTCAATCCCAATTTTAGTTGGTCTATTAATTAATAAGAACAAGCAACATAAGAGAATCCGTAAAGAACTTTCTAGTTCTTTAATATTTACCCATATGAATTCTCTTTTATCTTTGCACATCATACTTAAATTAACATGGCTAAATCAATTATGCCAACTGAATAAATTTCAATATTGATAAAGTTCAGGTTTATACCATGACGTGTGCAATTATCAATAAATTCCAAGTTTATTATGATATGGATTTTTATATCAATAAACATTCACTTTATTGTGGTATGCTTTTATTTATGTAGTACAAATTGGAGAATAAAGCGGGTAGCTTTTCACATGTATATTACCCCGCTACAAGTTGTAGTAATAGAAGATATTAAATCTTTCCTTTATTTATAGTCTCAATATAATCAACTGCTTTCGCATATACTTTGGAAACTGAATACGTTTCTTCGAGACTTACTAGAACACAATACCTTATTGGTAATCAATTGTGTTTCTCCAAAATAGTATAATTGGCTCTTGCAGAGCTCTCAATTAATTTTGTATTACCACATATTCATCAACATCAATATGATGAATATCTCTTTTAAAGAGAAAGTTATACCATTAGGGTTATGGTCAAAATTATATGCAAGATCTGTTTCTTGCATTACCATTGTCTTTTAATAATCACAATGCCAAATTATTTTGGCGTACGATAAGTACGTGACCAATGACCATTTATGCCATAATAATGACATTATTTTCTTATTTCCTCTCAAACCTCCTTCTTGAGGTGAGTGTGGTATATACCACTAGCACACTCATATTCTTCCAAAAATGAATATGTATTCATAAATCACATGTTGTCACATTCACATCATGAATGGACCATAATCATTTGTATGTGTGCTTTACAAAATCTCATGTCAAATTGATGACAAACATTACTTTCACAGAATGAAGGATTATTTTGAGAATCCTTATTATTCTCATTACCACAATGGTGACGATTATAATTTCGTATATTGTCACGTTCACATTCATTGATACCTTCACGGTAATAATTTTGTCTTCTCTCAGACTTATTACATATTGCTACCACATTCTCTTAAGGGAATGAGAATGAAGCAAAGACGGGTTTCCACTTCTTGTGCTCACGATCATACATGACTTGATCATGGCAAGACATAAAAATTTCACCACTTCGAGTGGTTATAATTTCTTACTAACTCCATCAAATTTATAATTAAAACTTATTGTCTTTGCTTGTATTTAAAATCAAATTATAGAATAAAAGAGAAAAATACGGTAAAATACATACCTTAAATCCAGAATTTAATCATGAAGGAAGTTCATGGAACAATTGACAATCATTATGCTCAATCCCAAAGCTTCTACTCAATTGGTTAGAGTGTCGTGCTGATAACGTGTTATGAAATAATAAAAGAAGAATAGTATTGCAGAGAAAAGTAGGGAGAGAGAATTCTTATTGATTTGGAGTCAATTACAATGGAATGGGAACCTTCTATTTATAGGGAAAGAGTGACTTAGCCACTAAGTAAAATCCCTAAAATATTTCTTAAATATAGACATTCACATTAAATAGAATTCTATTTATAACATCTCGTGCTCGCGTGTCTACCATTTCACCACCAAGGCATCTTGAAAGTGAATCGTATTCCATGAATATGATATCTATCTAGTGTGATGTGTGGAATATATGACAAAGGTGGATCTATTGATCGGTCATGTCATATAGGCCCGAGTTGGACATCCAATTGCTTCGATTTGAATTATCCGGAGAATGCAATGCCTGATATATATATCAAAAAGATGGACAATCAAACCTATTTTTCGATTCACTCAAAGAGGTGAATAGGGTCCTAATAGAGATATGTAAAAAGCAGGTCCGATTATGCGTATTCCTAGTCCTAAATGGAATGTAATGATGTAGGAATCCATATATAAACATAGTATCTATTTAGATAGGCCCCATGTAAGTATTACTATTAATTTATTCAGACCACCCTAAACGTTTCTATTTTTCAATGTGCTAGTTGAAACCTTCCCGCTATGCCAGCACATAAGACTTGCGCATAAATCTCATCACTTCAACTTTTTTCCAGTGATCACATCTCAACACAAACACCTCCAAATTCCACCTCCAATTACTCCACCTCATCTTCTTCCTTATTTTCTTCCACCATTAACCCCATCAAAGATCTCTTATTTCCCAACCCAAAAATCCTTTCTTTAATTCCTAAATCTTAATGAGTACTTTACATTCACAGCTGATCTCTCACATTCATATCAAAGATTCAAACTTTATACAGTCTGATGCACATATCATGTTTGATTTAATGTAACATGCTCTTTTTATTAAGATTCTTTATTTATATACAAAAACAGAAAAGAAAAGGGTCTTTAATTTCTGGTTTTCAAGAATGTCACAGGTGAAACCTCTAAAGAAACCACCTGGTTTCAGAGATCCTACAATACCAATTCAAAGGCCATTACATCCGCCGCCACCGCCGCGAAAGATTAACCTTCCACCATCATTCTACCAAGAAAAGAAGCGTAGAACTTGTTGCTTCAGTTGTTGTTGTTGCTGTTTTGTTTTTCTAATTTTGTTACTCTTTTTAGTAGCAGCTGGTGGTGCTCTCTACCTTTGGTTTAATCCAAAACTCCCTGTTTTCCATTTAAGATCCCTTGAGTTTACTAAATTCAATGTTACTGAAAATCAAGATGGGCCAAAACTAAATGCACAATCAAATGTTGGGGTTGAGTTAAAAAATCCAAATAGGGAGTTGAAGTTTGTATATGGTGAAACTAAAGTGGAACTTAAAGGTGAAAATGATGTGAACATGGGTGAAGGGAAAGTTTCTGGTTTTGTGCAAGAGAAGAAGAGTGTTAAAGTTGTTAAATTTGTTATGAAGTCTAATGAAATATTGTATGGTGATAATATTGGGAAAGTGATCAGAAGTGGATTCAAGAGCAAGAATTTGAGAGTTTCTGCTGATGTAAGTACTGCTATTGGAATTGGATATAATGAATGGAAGAGTTGGAAAATTGGAGTTAGAGTTTCTTGTGGAGGTTTGAGGTTAAAGCAGATTGAAAATGGTGCTACACCAAAATGTGGCATTACCCTGTTTAACTGGTAAGTAACAAGCTAATACTTTATATTATAACTAAATTAGGAAGCTTGTCGGGCTAAAACGGTCCAGTGATACTCTTAACATGGTATTGATATTGTCCGTCACGGTTTTTTTCGAAAAGACTCATACCGTTAAGAAATCTCTACATCTTATATGTAGGCTCCTAATCATTTCAGATACTAATATAGAACTTTGTTCGCACATCCAATAAAGCTAGGTTTACAACTCAACTCTATATTGTGATTATTTATCATAAATTGCCTATTTTTACGCCGTCTGTCAGCCTATCACAGGCATAGTTCTTGTTGTTTTGTTTGTTTGGTTAGTTTATAATTGAAGTGATCATTAAAGCCAGCTTTCATTTGTTATTTAGGTGATGCATTTAGTATGAAGATGCAAACAAATAAAACCCAAGAGCTTTTGTATTCATCATATGCTTTTGTATTTGTTTTCTGAGTATTATTGATTGTACCAATGGGAGAAAAGGAATTAAAGAATACATTAAATTGATGATTGAACAAAATGCACATGGGAAGTAGTTATAGAGAACATAATAAGATATCATTTCACCTTGCTTACAATTTTGTTTCTAGTATTGTAAGATTTAGATGATAACTAATGATTATTGCCATGATTCAATAGATCTAACTTCTCTGCTGTACTTTTTTTCTTTATAAGCATGGTGTCTGGACCAGCTTGCGCGCACCTCGACTAATACATGAAGCATTCTAATTTTTGAAGTGCACTTATATTGCGGCGAATATGTTTCTTAACAAACATTTATGTCTGATTTGCAGGTTTCATTTAAATTGATTGATACAAGAATGAAGGCATTGCTATCATCTTAGAATGAGAAGAATGAATTGGTATTGTGCCCAAATTCATACATGACTTAATATTTAAGCTCATTTTTTTAGATATAAAAGCTTATCTAAGTTAATTCCAGAAGTTCCATCTTACAGCTGGTAATTTATAGTAGGTAGTAGTGAGAGTTGCAAGTGTGTCCTTTCAACTTGTAACCAAAACTATAAGCACATGTATAGAATAGATGTTGGAGCATGGAAAGGATGAAAGAGTAGATATAAGTATTACTGTAATAGTAGCTTTGATGTTGGAGCATGGACATTTTACTTGTAAAGTCACTGGCTATATATCCCTGCTGTGTGGAGCATGGACATTGTTTTATTTATGTGCTCACTTATTTCTACATTCATTCCGGGAACAGACAGAAGCAGAGCAGGATTTGAAATTTATAGGTTTTAGTTCTAGCATAGCAACATCCGGTGTTAGTAATTAGGTTCTGAATTGTACTTTTGTATACAAATACAAGATTTGGACTAAAAGTACTGAGTTCGGCCGATCACGTACATAACCTTCTAGCTAGCTCCGCCCCTGAGAATAGATCCATCTACTAAAATGTCATATTGACCAAACACGGAAACAAGTTGTGATGCTAATGATATGTTTTAAAGCCACATCGGCTTAAGCCTAAAGCAGAAAATATCACTTGTAGATTGCGATTACATATGGTATACCTTGAACAATGGTAGGGGAAAACTTCACTCAAGATGCTGAGTCCCTATGAGGTGCATATACAACACTCTAGACAAATTCAAGATTGATAAAACACGAGAGAAATATGGGTATCTAAAGGAAACAGGTCGTAGACCTAATGACAACGTGTTTTAAACCCTAATAACGCGTTTTAGAAATGTACAGGCTTAGACCCAAGCAAACAATATACAGTGGATTGAACCGTTGTAGTATTTGTAATTAATTGTTTTTCTTAAGAGGTTTCTTTGGTGTTTTCTTAGAGGTGGGAGGTTGCTTTTTCTGGTGAAGGAAGGTAGAAAGAGAAAATGAAGCTGCAACACGAAAATCCATCTAGTAATTATTTGTAAGGGCAATCTCATTAGTAATTAGTATAACTTTTAAATTTAAAAAACAAAAACAAATTCCAGATCTTATTTTTCTCCCAAGAGTACAGTCTTACCAAAAGCTGTTTAACAGGATCCAAGAAACTAGTTCCCTTTCCTGCATGTGACGATTCTAGCCAAATTTGGGTAGTCTAAATATAGGCTTAGTTGACAACGTTTATGACTCAATTTGTTCAAAGTTTGCTTTGGTTTATTTGAGCTAAACTATAAGGCTTAATTAATCACACAAAAAGTACATATGCTTTTGGATAAGATTGGATATGTTTTTGCACTTGTTTGTTTGTTTTGGGTTACAGTACTTATCTCCGAATTGCTTCATTACGTTTTTCATTGTGTATGGGTCAGAATCCGACCCCACGATAATTAACGAAGCTAATCCCGTCTTAAGCTAATTCATGATTAATTAGTGGTACGACCACTTATAATTAACGATATTCAACCCTCATCTGATTCGATCAACAAGGCCACGGCCCATCCGCCACCATGAAGGCGAAATCCCAACGTGGTCACGGCCACTTATTGCCAGCTCACGAAGCTCACAACTATAAATACCAAGAGAGGAAACCCTAGAAAGGGGGCTGCTTCTCGGTCACTATCCGGGAGAGAGAGAAAAAACACAATGATACCCATATTGTGAGAGAGAGAAACACCATTGTAAGGCTCTGAACCTCTTCATGGAGAGGCAGGCCAAATCAACATTATCAACAAAGAATCTTAATGTTTCTCCTCCTAACTCTGAGTACTTATTTTCGTTTCCTTCATTTGGTCCAACGGATTATTAAGGTTTGCTATGATTTTCTCGTGATTTATTTATATTGTTTTATACTCATAAGGTATGTGATAACTTTTGAGCAAACAATTTGGCGCCTTCTGTGGGGATTTCCTAGCAAAATCGCATAGTTCTTCCCTGGACCAAAAAGGAAGAAACGCCAGAAAAGGAAAACAAAAGCAACCCAGCTCAAACAAGCCAAAGCGCATGTCAGACAAGGGGAACTCGAAGATCTCAAATCAAGATCCAAGTCCTCTCTCTCTCTAATCTTGGATAGTGCAAAAATAAGAAGAAGAAGCCCCTCCTAAGGGAGAATCTCTGTAAGGCATCTACCGCATCCCTGATACGAGCTCCGGCCAGAAACCGGCACGGAGATATCTCGAGCCAAGAGTCTCCTCAAGACAGCCTATCTACTCCGATTGGGAGGACAACACATAAGCTGCTCAAGGTCTCGAATCAAAACCGAGCTTCGGCACTCAATACCCACAACTAAGACCAGGCTACGCGCCTTCGCCAGTAAGTTCAACTACGGTTGAACTGGGACTCAGGCTACACGCCTTCGCCAGTAAGTTCAACAGGTGACTGAGACTCAGGCTACGCGCCTTCGCCATTGAATCAAGGCTATGCGCCTTTGCCAATAAGTTCAAATACGGTTGAACCATGACTCAGGCTACGCGCCTTCGCCATCAAAATCGACCAAGTTCAACAATAGTTGAACTGGGACTCAGGCTATGCGCCCTCGCCATTAAATCAAGGCTATGCGCCTTCGCCAATAAGTTCAAATACGGTCGAACCATGACTCAGGCTATGCGCCTTAGTCATCAAAATTGACAAAGTTCAACAACAGTTGAACTGGGACTCAGGCCATGAGCCTTCGCCATCAAAATCGACTAAGTTCAACAACAGTTGAACTGGGACTCAGGCTATGCGCCTTCGCCATTAAATCAAGGCTATGCGCCTTCGCCAAGAAGTTCAAATACAGTTGAACCATGACTCAGGCTATGCGCCTTCGCCAAGAAGTTCAAATACAGTTGAACCATGACTCAGGCTACGCGCCTTCGCCATAAAATCAAGCCCATGCGCCTTCGCTAGTAAGATTAGCTACGGTCGAACCAAGACTCAGGCCACGCGCCTTCGCCATCAAATCCAATGAGTTCGACCTCGCTTGAACCATAAGGCTAGACGCCTTCGTCCTCAAATCTAACAAGTTCAACCACAGTTGAACTAGGACTCGGACCAAGCGCCTTCATCATTGAACTCAGCGAAACCCAACCTCCAACGAATCGAGGCACAGGTTAGGCACCCTCGCCCTTCAAGTAAGTACTCCCAACTCAAACTAAGATTGGGGACACGTAAAGTCCGGCCCCGGTCAAACTACAAGGCCGCGTTTCCATCATCACGGCCGACAGTTCGACCGCGCCCAAACTGGGACTAAGGCTAAGTGCCGCTATCGCCAAACTACAAGGCCGCGTTTCTGTCATCACGACCGACAGTTCGACCGCGCCCGAAATGGAACTAAGGCTAAGTGCCGCTATCGCCAAGCAACGGCTCCGACTCGCTCACCCCGAGTCGAAGAAGAAGAGTCGTAAATAATTAAAAACTAACATGCCTACCAAAGTCGAACTCTAAGGCAAATCACCCTTTCGAGCGCATGCAAAGAAAAATCTAAGGGGGAAAAAGAGGAGGTACAAAACAGACACAAGGCAAATAACGGAAAGGAGATCTCATTTATCTACAAAGTTAATTGCGGGTCTTCTCCGCTTACACCCGGCCAAGGCCGATCAATACAAGGAAAGAGAAAAGAAAAACAAGAAAAAATGCATATCTTTTTACTCGGCGCCATCCGCGCCACCATCCGCACCAGCGTCAGCCTCTGGCGTCGCCGCGTCAAAACCACAGTCGGTACGGGCCTCACGAGCCTTTTGATGCGCTCCCTCGAAAGCAGCTTCGGTCACGATACCGGCCTCCCACAAATTCTTATATACATCACGTTGGGCCTCGGCAAAGACCCAAAGTTTGCGAGCCTGGCTGGAAGAAGCGGCTTGGTCCCGTAGGCGCTGATTCTCTTCTTCTAAGGCTGTGACCCGGTCCGCCATGACTTGGGCGTCCTGCTCAAAGACACCGATCCGCTCCTCGAGACTCGCTTCTCTAAAGGCCGCAGTAGCGCTCTCCAACGCCCGTTGGGACTCGTGCACGCGGATAGCTTCCGTCAATGCCCCAGCCCTCGACGAGGCATCCCTCACCTGAAGCTTCAATACCGCGACTTCACCCTCTAACGCGGTCACTTTCCCGCCCCATGCCGCAGCGGCCTCCGCCGCCTTAGCTTGGCCCTGGCGCTCACACTCAGCTGCGGCCCTCTTTACCGCCTCGAGCTCCTCATCCTTCTGGCGGAGCTACTCCTCGAGAGCACTCGTTCTGCCAAGTGTTTGCTGCATCTGAAGCTCCCGCCTCGCCAGTTCCTCGACCAAGTCCCGGCTACGGGGATCATTCCTCAAGCGCACGCGCAACTCTCGGCACTGATCTCGGTAGCGGCGATACTTCTCCAGCGCCCGCAAAAATATCCCCGAGCAGACTTTGGCTCGACGGATGCTCTCCACCTCCAACAAATAAGACTGTAAAGCAAAGACAACGATTAAGATAAAGAACAAACTGAGGCAAAGAAGAAGCGAACCGACCTAATAATACATACCCTCAAGCCCATCACGGCCACTTCATTCATCAGTACGATATCCATAACGCCCCTCAACGACGCATTCTTGGCCTCCGAGCATAGCAGCTCGAACTGCGGCACCAAGCTTTCCCCTTGGAGCAATAAGTTCAACTCCGTGGGAACCTCGATGAAGCGAGATCGCCCCTCTGCGCGCACCACTAAATTGGTGAAGCCTTCCCGGAACATACGGACGTCGTCGGGGTCCAAGTCGGATTCGGACTCGTACTCATCTTCTACAGTATCCCTTCCTCCTTCCGCCACCAGCGAGGTAGAGCCACCCGCTGTAGCCACCGAAGGAGCGCTTGCCTCACCAACATTAGCAGCCGCTGAGGAACTACCTCCCGTCTCAGCGACTGGAACCACCAATTGAATCGCCGAAGCGACGGCATCATCATGGCATAAGCCAATCGGGGCAACCCCCATTGCCTGTCCACTCTCAGGTTCAGGCATCGCAGCCACACTCCGCTCCGCATCCGCCGGGGGGGAGTCCAAATTAATTACCGCAGGAGGAGCCGGCGTGAACACGACCCTACGCCTTATCAATGGCCTCTCCTCCTCCCCATCTGATGGCGAATCCGCTCTAGGGCGCACAACCCTCGATGGCCCCTCGTCCCGAAGTGCGGCTCGTGCTGGAGAAGGAACCGCTGAAGATTCAACTGATGCCGCCCTCCGTATTGGGCGCGACACCGGCGCCGCAGTAAGTCGAGCAATTGCACCCGGCCGACGGAAGGCCAACTGAGGGGCCCTGACGCGGCGTGCCCTCCCTGAT